ACTCCTGTGTAAAATCACTGGCTTTTTGTTGTTCTTCCAAGATTGGATTGTTTTATTGTGAGTTATCCAAAAACTAATCGAGTCTGTTCCCTTCTCTGAAACGAACTTTATATGATTATTATGATTGAAAAAAAAGATGATAAGCTAATGATTTGTTTTGCAAAAAAAATCCAATATTTTTGTCTTATATTGTCAATTCTTAAAAAGTCCCATCAATTAAATGGCTTTCAATAACAGGCTAAACAAAAATGAGTATTTCTAAGCCTAAACCTGGTCGAAGACTTCCATTGTTCGGATAGAACCTTCTTGATCATTTAATAATTAGAAAACACATGCTTTTGAAAACCCCGCTTAGTCCATGATCTGATTCTCTTCGACAAATGATTCGGCTACATATGACAAATGAGTTGGTAAAATCAGCCTATATTGATCGGATTCTGATTTACGCTATATAAGCCTCATCATTCTATGATTGAAGAAATTTATTTCGAGAGGTGGTAAAAACGGAACATCGTTGGATCATTTTGGTCGATTTATAAGCCAAGCAACACCTCTACGTGGAAAAAAAAACAAAGTACTAATTCCAAATTTTGCTTAAAAGAATTGTAAAAACTGTCTATAAAATTTAAGTGGACATGGAAAAAAAACAATAATTAGTTTACTTATTTGGAAAACGATAGTTTGGCCATTTAGGAGATCTGATAGGAGCAAAGCTATCAGACAGCAAAGTAATCAGCGAATCGAAAATCAATCTGATTTGAAAGGTGAACAATAAATCAATTTATGATAACTATAGTGTGCTTCATCAACAATTTTGAGCTACTGCGATTGAATTCAGACTGGTTTTCCATTCAATGAATATCGAGCATTTAATATGATCATAAAATACTATTTTTTGTCAAGTAGTTAGCTTGAAATAACTTTTTTTCAAATTTTAAATTCACTGAAGCCAAAGTAGGAATCACGATATAAATGCTTAATTAGATTTTCCCAATAGAACAACTAAAAACTTTCATGATTCTTTTTTGTGATTCCGATAAGCATGAATCGAACACAGAGGATCAATTCCAAACAAAAACTTATTTGGATATATCTGTTAGCTTGTATCCCGTTTTTCACCGAAAAAAAAACCTTTACTTCATCTCCGTTCTTTCACGGTGTTAAAACATGTCAAATACTAAGCCGATAGAGAAAAAATGTTATGTATTTCGAGCCGTATCTTATCAACGTTTTGATCAACGGTTGATGCAAATGTTGGTTGCTGGTATTTAATGCGCGTGTATCGTTCCCAGTATTTACTCTGTATGTTTTGAATACTAATACAGAAATTAAAGAGAAAACCAATTGTACTAAAATTTGGGGTCCGTGAATTTTACACTGCTTTCATTTTTAACTTTAAATGTCAATCAAAATAATACAAGTAACAAGTTTAACTAAGCCACCAGTCTTATATCACCCAGGAGCAATTCTCGTTAAATTCCTACCATTTCAATAACGTCAAGCAAAGAAATATAATGATTATATGATAGATCATCGCGGATGATAGATCAGCCGCGCCAATACGAAACATTTTTTCCCGTTTTTCTCATATTTCCCATAATAGTCATTATATCAATTGACTGGTGGAAAATATCTATGCTTAAGCGAACATCACCTTTAAGTTGACCTGCAGTTTAATACGAGTTCCAACTTCATTGTCTTAAAAAATTTACAGCAAAATAGATCAAAGTATCCCTCTATCATAATCTCACTGTTACTAACCGAAGATCAATTTCGCCGTGTTCAGTTGTTATCTCTGACTTTGTAAGTTGTTATGATCATCACACTCGCAGACATTAACAATTATTAAACAGATGACAAATTAAAATTCCACTAACGGAAAAAAATCATAGATACGAGTTTTTCAATGATTTTTTGATCACAAACACTGAAAATCACACTCTGAAACTTACACTTAAAACCTAGTCTTAACCCGCATTACGGTTGTTAAAAGAGAGAAATAATTCCCAAGTACGCCAAGTTTTAACTTCCATTTACGCGTGTTAAAGCTTAGCCTTAACTCTTTTTACGCTTGTTAAACCTTAGTTTTATTTCCCATTTACGCTTGTTAAAGCTTAGTTTTAACTGACATTTACGGTAGTTAAACCTTAGTTCTAACTCCTATTTACGCTTTTTAAAACTTATTTTTAACTCCCATTCATGTTTGCTAGAGTTTAGTTTTAACTCCCATTTACGCTTTTTAAAGCTTAGTTTTGACACCCATTTACGCTTGTTGGAGCTTAGTTTCAACTCCCAATTACGTTTGTTGAAACTTAGTCTTAACTCCCATTTACGCTTGCTAAAGTTTAGTTTTAACTGCCATTTACGCTTGCTAAACCTTAGTTTTAACTCCTATTTACGCTTGCTAAAGTTTAGCTTTAACTGCCATTTACGCTTGTTAAAGCTTAGTTTTAACCAGCTAAAATATGACTAATAAAGCTGGCGAGAAAAACGGAATGATAAATTTTGAGTCTACAAAATTTCTCAAGTTGCGCTCGCCAACTATGAGTCAACATAATTGCTAAAAAACGCAAGTCAATTTTGTTTTTCTTGAGAAAAAATTTACAGCAAAATAGATCAAAGTATCCCTCTATCATAATCTCACTGTTACTAACCGAAGATCAATTTCGCCGTGTTCAGTTGTTATCTCTGACTTTGTAAGTTGTTATGATCATCACACTCGCAGACATTAACAATTATTAAACAGATGACAAAATTAAAATTCCACTAACGGAAAAAAATCATAGATACGAGTTTTTCAATGATTTTTTGATCACAAACACTGAAAATCACACTCTGAAACTTACACTTAAAACCTAGTCTTAACCCGCATTACGGTTGTTAAAAGAGAGAAATAATTCCCAAGTACGCCAAGTTTTAACTTCCATTTACGCGTGTTAAAGCTTAGCCTTAACTCTTTTTACGCTTGTTAAACCTTAGTTTTATTTCCCATTTACGCTTGTTAAAGCTTAGTTTTAACTGACATTTACGGTAGTTAAACCTTAGTTCTAACTCCTATTTACGCTTTTTAAAACTTATTTTTAACTCCCATTCATGTTTGCTAGAGTTTAGTTTTAACTCCCATTTACGCTTTTTAAAGCTTAGTTTTGACACCCATTTACGCTTGTTGGAGCTTAGTTTCAACTCCCAATTACGTTTGTTGAAACTTAGTCTTAACTCCCATTTACGCTTGCTAAAGTTTAGTTTTAACTCCCATTTACGCTTGCTAAACCTTAGTTTTAACTCCTATTTACGCTTGCTAAAGTTTAGCTTTAACTGCCATTTACGCTTGTTAAAGCTTAGTTTTAACCAGCTAAAATATGACTAATAAAGCTGGCGAGAAAAACGGAATGATAAATTTTGAGTCTACAAAATTTCTCAAGTTACGCTCGCCAACTATGAGTCAACATAATTGCTAAAAAACGCAAGTCAATTTTGTCGCATTAGCAGTACCAGTCGAGTTTTAAAAAAAAGAAATTTATCAGCTAACATGCCTCAATTTAGAGAGCGGATGCAATTTAACTAGCATAAGAAAAGATTCATTTAAAACATTCGACCTTGCCCAGATTTGAACACTCATATTTTGTTGGGGGTCTCCTTCCCTACCTCTACGTTACAGATTCATGATACCTTAAAGTTAAAAAGCTATTTGTAATATAATAGCCTTTGTTATTATCCTTAGCATTGGCTGTACTTAATAGTTAGTTATTGGTCAAATTGAACGCTTTCAAAATGAACACATTTTGTCGCAACAATATTTGCGAATTAAGTTGAAAAAAGATACTATTACACATGCTTTGCTTGTGTAAAAACTTAAAAATGAGCAATGTCAACTTTGATTTAAAACTTTGAAGACTTTATATATGATACTGACAACCTAACACTCTTAGCGAATAGAAAAAGTAAACCTAACACGCATTAGCACATGAAAGCTAAGTCTTTAAATTAGTTGAAACAAATAAAAAAAATTTCCTCTGAGTACAGGCGTAAACTTATACCGCTCAAAATTCTTCCCAAATGAAATCAGGAAAACTAATTATCAACCTATTGCTCCGACTTTCATAACGGAAGAAACGGAATATTTGTGCACGGGGTGGGTTTTTTTCTTCAGACAAATTTCGACTTTTAACTAGCCATTTTTGTAAAGTTATGAGGGTTTAAAAGTTGGCACTTCATCCAATTTGGGACAATTAAAGCGATATATTTCGCGCTATTAAAGCGTAAGCGGAGATTTAACCTATCTTAAAAATCGTACCAAAATGGTTGAACGAAGCTTATTTGCCATACTTGATTTTTTTACAAGGAGCGAAATCTATCCTTTTGTATTTTATGTGACACAGGCTGATTTTCACAAAGAATCTCAAATTTTGAAAGAAATAAAAATCATTTTATTTTTTTATGTTATTACTGCTCCTCCATAAACCTTAAAAGGCAATCGGAACATTTAGAGTTTCGCCCTTAATGTTTATACGGCACGTGCGTGTGGGGGGATCATTTTCACAAAAAAAAACTCAAATTTTAGAGAAAAAAAATTGCTGTTAATTTTTTTTACATTCAATTTTTTTAAATGTTTTTACTGCTCTATAACCCCTAAAAGGCAGTCGGAACATTTAGGGCTACGCCTTGATACGAGCAGTCTTGTTTCGACTCAAACTTAAATGCTTAATATTTGATATTGACAGTCTAAAATGTTGAGTTTTGTAGTTTGAAAATTTATATCTTTAAAAACACATGGAGCCCAGGTAAGAGGCAGGTAGGAGCCCAATTAGTCTTCATCTTAATCACGTTTTACCAAAAACCATGCCTTTCCTTTTGTAAATTAAGTGACATTTGCATTTTTCCAAATCGTCGAAACTTTTCAAAATTTTGCTCTATGAAGTTAAGCGAACATACGGCTGACAGTTGGATGTCTTTTTATGATGATAAGAAAAGGAATTTTTGCAAAATAATTGTAATTCAGATAGAATGATATGAAATGTCTACATGATATGGTTGCGGTAGAACTATTGATATCAATTTGCAGAGGAGGTAACTTCTAATCATCCAAATTTTAGCTTGATTATTTTTTGCGCTCTTTTCGACTCAGCGGTTCCTACTAATTGTTTTTCAGGTTCCCGTGCGAGTCGAGGGGGGCATGTTTTTCATGTTGCGGGGTGTCAAAACGTGTCTTCAGTAGAGTGCTTTGATCTTGGCCACCGACTGTGTCCAGTTGTTGCTCCACCGCCTCTCCTGGATCCTCTCGTGCTCAAAGTGATTCTCACTCTTCTTCGCTTTCATCTGGAACTCCGTCACAAACAGCTGACAAAAACACAAAAAAGCAGAATAACAAAAGCAGCCGTGCCTGAGTAGGCAACGCACAAACCTCCTAATAAGAGGGTCGTGAGTTCGAATCGCACTTCGGTCACGGTTTGAGGGGTCACAGTGTCTTGTGCATCCCCAGGTTAAGAAAAAAATTTTTGGTTATACGGTCCAAAATTACCAAATTTTTAGGACAACAAACAAATAAGCCTCACAGTTTTTTTGCTTTTCTTTTGCTATATGGCTCAAAATTACAAAATTGTTCACAAAGCTTCAGTTTTTGATCAAAACTTCGAATTTTTTATTGCTTGCATTAAATTTAGCCAACAGATTCGAGCATTATTGTGGTATTTGCAAATACTACAAGGCAAGTTTTGCGCCGTATAACAGAAAAGGCACCAATTTTCATATGCCTATAGTTTTTTTGCTGGTTTTAAAGATTGAAGACCTCAAAGTTTTCTCAATTCTGCAAGCAGTGATTACGAATCATACCGGGCCTCAAGCCTCCAATTTATCTATTTTCAGAGGCAAGTCTCTAAAGTGTTACACTTCAGTCGGCATGATCAAAGGAAACACAAGATCAAAGAAAGATCAAAGAGAAGTCGCAATGCGAATTCCGCATACAATTCTCAAAGTACACAATTGGTCTCGTAATGAAGCGGACACGTAGCCACGACTTCGGCGCCATTTTGAAAATCATCTTATTTTGCTCAGCATTTTCTTACAAGCAAAAAGTAACAGCGATATTGGCCATTAAATGGATTAATTTAATGATGCATCAAAAACATTGCCCTATTCTAATCCGGTGTCAAGACAAAAGAAGACCATACCAAGAAAAAGCTCCATGACAAATGTGATTGCACCAAAATATCCCAAAAAATAAAATCGCCCAAACCATAAGATCCCATGCCAATTAAAAAGATCCCATGAATTATGAAGAAAAGACATAATCAAAATGCAATCAGAAACATATCTAGAATAATGATACCTCAATTAAGTTCGCGTTATTAATTAAAAACGCAACTCTAAGCTAACTAAACTCCAACTGGACTCATTTTTTCGGAATAATATAGTGCCAGCATGAGTTTAATTTAGTGTTAATTTGTTACTGAATTAGAACAGCTCAAATGAAAATGTATACAATCTGCATTCATTATCTCACTTTTTAACACATCGAATAGTCAAAAAGGATTTCTTTTACGTGGAGAACCTCACAAAAAGGTCAAAAACTTATTATACTTGACGGCCATGAATTTCAAAAGAAGCGCGACAGAAAGACAGCACACAGGATCTGCAGAAAATTGAGATCACATATTTTGCCGAAAACATTAATCACATCATCATTATCATAGTCCGTATAGCACCGGCGTAAAAAAAGCTTGCTGTCAAAATTCGAATTCTGCGTGGTCGGCACTCCCACAAAGAGCCGCCGAGTGGAGATAATTCTGTAACCGTTTCATCTCCGTTCATTTTCTAACGGATCTGAAGCTATATAAGGAAAATCCAAACTGGGCATTAAGAAGACATAGGAATCAAACAGCGAGCAAGTCTAAAGGCTGAAAATCTTTCTGCCCTTAGTTTTCTACCGGAGTCAAAGTGGAAATTGCGTTCGACTTGGTAATTGAGGAAATATTTTTTTAACAACCAAACTGGATAAATCTTAAAACTATCTCCAAAAATTAGACAAGCTCACGGGTTCTTTGAAAAAAAAAACATTTTACCGACGTTTTTTTTCGATTTGATTGATTTTTTGCCTTTTTCAATTCTTTGGTTCTTTTTTCCCTTGTTATTTTAGTTAATTTATTATGGTTTTTAAATCGTGGGCGATTTGAGGACGAGGTATTTTTTGGATAGGTACCATATCAGCTGGTATCTTCTCGCTTCGGATCTTAAGGTAAGGGATCTTTTGTCATGTAATCTCCATTACAACCTGAGAAGTAAAATCACGATTATTATATCAGACAGCACGCGTTTTATTTTTCACATTGAAAGCTCAAAATACTCGATTCGGGTCTTTCCCAATATAGTCCCCCAGTCTGGAAAGAGCCTTCGATCTATCGCCCGTTCTGCCTAGTGAACAAATAAAGATAAAGGGACTGACCTCGAAGTACTTGTCCTTTAAGATGTCCACTGTCTTGTGCACATCACTTGACTTCATCGTGCTCACCACCGCCGACTTCACCACCTACGAAGTCAAAAACGACAACTCACTTCCCGAATGTTCTTTTTTGGTTTGAAATTAAATTAATCAAAACAAGTATAGTTCGTTGCTGTGCAGAAAGCCCCGATGGTTGTGACCAAACAGAAACATACTTGCAAAAAAATTCATTTTTTTAAATATTTTTGAATATAATCAATTTTTTAAAGAATTTTTCGAAAACGCCTTGCTGTCAATATATTCGAAAACGCCTTGCTGTCAATATATATTGACTTCAAGTTATACTTGCTCTAACTTTAATTTATACCTATTTTAAGGGGTGACCGCGCGCCAAAAATAGGCGATTGTTGGTCAAAGCCATCCGAAACGTGCTCAAAAACAGCGGCGTAGAAATTTAGAAATTTAATTCCCTTTGCATGTTTTTTTTGCGTATCGACGAATGTCAAAAATGTATTTGGTGGACCTAAAAAGGCCGCCAAAATGTTTGAAGTACAAAAAAAATAAATGCACAAGGGGGAGATTCGTTACTAGGTATTTAATTATCATATGCTTAACTGTTAATTTATTTTTTATAGGGGGGATATTCGTTACTAGGTACCCGAGTGGGAATAGTTAAAGAGATCAAACCATCTAAGCAAATTCATGAGTTCTACAGAAAAAAAAGTAAATTAAAACACCACCTGTAGATTAGGGTCTAAATCAGATGTGGCTAGTGTGTTAAGTGGGATGCCCTCCCAGTTTCCCCTCCCTCTGGACGCCACTGGCTGCTCCACCGGCTCCTCCAGCGACTCGCCATTCGCCTTCCGGCGGATCAATTCTTCAGTGCTCAGCTCTTTGGTGCCGAAATCTGCAAGACAAAAAAAAAAGAAATATTATAGATAATTAATTAATTCCAAGTTGAGTAAAATTATAAGCAATATCATTTTTGATTTACATTTTTGGCAGCTGATAGTTAGAAAATCTGAAGAACATAACATTATGACTAAAATATATCCAACTGACAGTTCGAAAAGAGTAAATAAACGCAAGTAAACAGAAAGAAAGATTGACTTGTTTTTTGAAAAAATCTCAACTTTCAAATTTCGACAAAAAGAAATAGATGCTTAAAGCTCTTTGAAATTGTAGAAATTATTATTGGCATTTTTAAAATAATATTAACTCAGTTTGAGCAAACTGGGTCAATAAGTAAAGTTCTTATTTCGCTGGGAAAAATGAAAATTAAATTCCACGTTCGCGACCTATATATAAGAGTCTGAACTACGTTCATCGACTCTTAATTAAAATACTATTGATAAAAAAATTATTTACAAAATGGATAAGCTAATAAACACCATCATTAGTTTATATACAATTTTGACAGCATATAGACAAGAAATATTAAAAAGATCACATTATGACTAAAATTCATCAAAAGAACTTATTTACTTCTGTTTGAAAGATGATCAAATTTTGCAAAAAAAACATCACGAAGTTATTTACTTGTATTTAAAAAGATGATCAAATTGAAGTCAAGTTTATCGAATTGGCTTCCAATTGAATGAAAAAGACCGCGTTTTTGATGCTGGAAAAATCAGTGATAACAATCAAGGCAACTAAAACATTAATCGTTAATTTAATACAACTAATTGTATTACTAATTGTTAATACAACTAATAACTAAAAATGACACAATTGTTAGTATGGCAATATTTTTGAAGACCGATGATATAAATCCATGCCTCGATTTCTTAGAAATCAGGTGGGCATGATCCTTTATAAAAACTTTCAGAGCTTCTAGGGGGGCGGATCTAGGATTTTCTTGAGGGGGGGGGGCGGATTTTCAAAAAATTTTCGAAAATTTTGTCGACTATTTTTTAGGCCGACCAAATTGATTTTCCGAGCTCTCCCAGAGCTTTTAGGCACTTTTTGCACTTATCGCTTTTTTGGCGCGCGCTCCCCCTCAAAATTAGTATTTATTGGCACCAAAGGCGCGTTTAGAAAAATTTTAGGGTCCGTCACCAAATATGGATATCTCAAAATAGTACAAAGGTGGACCCTTTGGGTAGAATCCCTGCGGGGGGCGTCCACCCCCCCCCCCCTCTAAATCCTCCCCTGAGAGCTTCCGTAGTTTTACCGTTTTATACAGCTTTCAATTCAGCTTTTGGACCACCTTTGGAATTACATTCAGCCCGGTTTTTTTCAGACATCGAAAAATAGAACAAATATATCTTACAGCATGACTTGTAGTAGTCTACAAATAGAAATTTATGAAAAAAATAGGTAGCTCGACCACATTTTTCTAGCACAGATGTTGAAGACAAAAACGTCTTAGGATATTTTTTGTAATAATTTTTCTGTAACCGTCTCTAAGGGAATTTGTAGGACTTGTCCTTAATTAATGAAATGAGATTTAAGAACTTTAACTTCAAACAACATCCTCCATAGATATTAGTCGCCTGTAAACCGGATCTTGTTTTGGATGGTTATTTTGTATATTATTTCCGAAACAGTTGAAGCCCTTTCAAACCCCCCTAACTTTGCAAGTTTTCTATTTTTCGATATTTCTGCATGCTATTACGGCTAAATGCATGATTTTATTGGGAAAAAATTGGAAACGAGAGTTCAAAATACTTAAGTTGTTGAACATGAAAAAATTCATTCCAGCACTGAAACGTTGAAATAGATTTTTTTTTTGAAAATGAAACTAAAATGCGGGGACAATGGATAAAAAAAGTATTGCTGAACATCAAATTCGGATTCTAAAACGATTTAATTAAGAAAAATTTCAGGTGCTGAGAGAAATTTACGAAATTTTCCGCAGGCAGAATGAAGGTTTCCCAAAACATCATGAACATATTGGTGATAAAAATGTGTGTGTCTACAATCTTCCCAATGAATGGTCAAACAAAAATCTATTAAACATGATCAAACATCCATGATGAGCAAAATGATTTCCTGAGCTAATTTGTATCCTACGTGCTTATTTTATGACAATCTGCCAAAAAAACGACACATCGACCAATAACCTGTCACACTTCACTCCTAAAAATGAACCGTCCCCCCACCCAACACTTCACTCTTAAAACAGCACTCAGTAACACAGCCATCTCCCCCCCCCCCCGCCCTAAAAAAATTTCTTGTGATGACTACTTACTGCCCATATTGACATCTTCGATGAGGAGGAGGCCGTCATACTGTAGCAACAGCTGTTCCGATAGCTTGGCCAGATCAGAACAGTAGGCCTTCGCCTGTCTGTTCAACAGCTCCTAAAATATAAACGAAAACTTTTTTGTTTATTCTAACAAAAAACATTAAACATAAGCAAACCCGTTTTTCTTTATTTCAAATGTCTATGTTGGACACTAACTCTTTGTGTCTCTGCTGTTCTTTACTGGAATTACATTGACGCCTGAGTTGCAAATGTCTATACTAACACTAACTCTTTGTCTCTGCTGTTCATTGCTGAACTTACATTGACGCCTGAATTGCAAATGTCTTTTGTGGACACCATCTTTGTGTCTCTCCTGTTCATTGGTGGACGTATATTGACGCCTGAGTTGCAAATGTCTATAGTGGGCACTAACTCTTTGTGTCTCTGCTGTTCATTGCTGGAATAACATTGACGCCTGAGTTGCAAATTTCTATAGTGGACACTAACTCTTTGTCTCTGACGTTCTTTACTGGACTTACATTGACGCCTGAGTTGCAAATGTCTATAGTGCACACTAAATCTTTGTGTCTCTGCTGTTCATTGCTGGAATAACATTGACGCCTGAGTTACAAATGCCTGTACTAGACACTAACTCTTTGTGTCTCTGCTGTTCTTTACTGGACTTAAACTGACACCTGAGTTACAAATGTCTATTGTGGACACCATCTTTGTGTCTCTCCTGTTCATTGGTGGACTTATATTGACGCCTGAGTAGCAAATGTCTATAGTGGACACTAACTCTTTGTCTCTGACGTTCTTTACTGGACTTACATTGACGCCTGAGTTGCAAATGTCTATAGTGCACACTAACTCTTTGTGTCTCTGCTGTTCATTAATGGAATAACACTGACGCCTGAGTTGCAAATGTCTATACTAGACACTAATTCTTTGTCTCCGCTGTTCATTGCTGAACTTACATTGACGCCTGAGTTGCAAATGTCTATAGTGAGCAGTAACTCTTTGTGTCTCTGCTGTTTATTGGTGCACTTACAATGACGACTGAGTTGCAAATGTCTATACTAAACACTAACTCTTTGTCTCTGCTGTTCATTGTTGAACTTACATTGATGCCTGAATTGCAAATGTCTATTGTGGACACCATCTTTGTGTCTCTCCTGTTCATTGGTGGACTTATATTGACGCCTGAGTTGCAAATGTCTATAGTGGCCACTAACTCTTTGTCTCTGACGTTCTTTACTGGACTTACATTGACGCCTGAGTTGCAAATGTCTATAGTGCATACTAACTCTTTGTGTCTCTGCTGTTCATTGCTGGAATAACACTGACGCCTGAGTTGCAAATGTCTATACTAGACACTAAATCTTTGTCTCCGCTGTTCATTGCTGAACTTACATTGACGCCTGAGTTGCAAATGTCTATAGTGAGCAGTAACTCTTTGTGTCTCTGCTGTTTATTGGTGCACTTACAATGACGACTGAGTTGCAAATGTCTATAGTGGGCACTAACTCTTTGTGTCTCTGCTGTTCATTGCTGGAATAACATTGACGACTGAGTTGCAAATATCTATAGTGGACACTAACTCTTTGTGTCTCTGCTGTTCATTGCTGGAACAACATTGACGCCTAAGTTGCAAATGCCTGTACTAGACACTAACTCTTTGTGTCTCTGCTGTTCTTTACTGGACTTAAAGTGACGCCTGAGTTGCAAATGTTTATACTAAACACTAACTCTTTGTCTCTGCTGTTCATTGCTGAACTTACATTGACGCCTGAGTTGCAAATGTCTATAGTGCACACTAAATCTTTGTGTCTCTGCTGTTCATTGCTGGAATAACATTGACGCCTGAGTTACAAATGCCTGTACTAGACACTAACTCTTTGTGTCTCTGCTGTTCTTTACTGGACTTAAACTGACACCTGAGTTGCAAATGTCTATTGTGGACACCATCTTTGTGTCTCTCCTGTTCATTGGTGGACTTATATTGACGCCTGAGTAGCAAATGTCTATAGTGGACACTAACTCTTTGTCTCTGACGTTCTTTACTGGACTTACATTGACGCCTGAGTTGCAAATGTCTATAGTGCACACTAACTCTTTGTGTCTCTGCTGTTCATTAATGGAATAACACTGACACCTGAATTGCAAATGTCTATACTAGACACTAATTCTTTGTCTCCGCTGTTCATTGCTGAACTTACATTGACGCCTGAGTTGCAAATGTCTATAGTGAGCAGTAACTCTTTGTGTCTCTGCTGTTTATTGGTGCACTTACAATGACGACTGAGTTGCAAATGTCTATACTAAACACTAACTCTTTGTCTCTGCTGTTCATTGCTGAACTTACATTGACGCCTGAATTGCAAATGTCTATTGTGGACACCATCTTTGTGTCTCTCCTGTTCATTGGTGGACTTATATTGACGCCTGAGTTGCAAATGTCTATAGTGGCCACTAACTCTTTGTCTCTGACGTTCTTTACTGGACTTACATTGACGCCTGAGTTGCAAATGTCTATAGTGCACACTAACTCTTTGTGTCTCTGCTGTTCATTGCTGGAATAACACTGACGCCTGAGTTGCAAATGTCTATACTAGACACTAAATCTTTGTCTCCGCTGTTCATTGCTGAACTTACATTGACGCCTGAGTTGCAAATGTCTATAGTGAGCAGTAACTCTTTGTGTCTCTGCTGTTTATTGGTGCACTTACAATGACGACTGAGTTGCAAATGTCTATAGTGGACACTAACTCTTTGTGTCTCTGCTGTTCATTGCTGGAATAACATTGACGACTGAGTTGCAAATGTCTATAGTGGACACTAACTCTTTGTGTCTCTGCTGTTCATTGCTGGAACAACATTGACGCCTAAGTTGCAAATGCCTGTACTAGACACTAACTCTTTGTGTCTCTGCTGTTCTTTACTGGACTTAAAGTGACGCCTGAGTTGCAAATGTCTATACTAAACACTAACTCTTTGTCTCTGCTGTTCATTGCTGAACTTACATTGACGCCTGAAATGCAAATGTCTATTGTGGACTCCATCTTTGTGTCTCTCCTGTTCATTGGTGGACTTATATTGACGCCTGAGTTGCAAATGTCTTTAGTGGACTGGACACTAACTCTTTGTCTCTGACGTTCTTTACTGGACTTAAAGTGACGCCTGAGTTGCAAATGTCTATACTAAACACTAATTATTTGTATCTGCTGTTCATTGCTGAACTTACATTGACGCCTGAGTTGCAAATGTCTATAGTGCACACTAACTCTTTGTGTCTCTGCTGTTCATTGCTGGAATATTGCAAATGTCTATACTAGACACTAATTCTTTGTCTCCGCTGTTCATTGCTGAACTTACATTGACGCCTGAGTTGCAAATGTCTATAGTTAGCAGTAACTCTTTGTGTCTCTGCTGTTTCTTGGTGCACTTACAATGACGACTGAGTTGCAAATGTCTATAGTGGACACTAACTCTTTGTGTCTCTGCTGTTCATTGCTGGAATAACATTGACGACTGAGTTGCAAATGTCTATAGTGGACACTAACTCTTTGTGTCTCTGCTGTTCATTGCTGGAACAACATTGACGCCTGAGTTGCAAATGCCTGTACTAGACACTAACTCTTTGTGTCTCTGCTGTTCTTTACTGGACTTAAAGTGACGCCTGAGTTGCAAATGTCTATACTAAACACTAACTATTTGTCTCTGCTGTTCATTGCTGAACTTACATTGACGCCTGAGTTGCAAATGTCTATTGTGGACTCCATCTTTGTGTCTCTCCTGTTCATTGGTGGACTTATATTGACGCCTGAGTTGCAAATGTCTATAGTGCACACTAACTCTTTGTGTCTCTGCTGTTCATTGCTGGAATAACATTGACGCCTGAGCTGCAAATGTCTATACTAGACATTAACTCTTTGTGTATCTGCTGTTCTTTACTGGACTTACATTGACGTCTGAGTTGCAAATGTCTATAGTGGACACTAACTCTTTGTCTCTGGGGTTCTTTACTGGACTTACATTGACGCCTGAGTTGCAAATGTCTATAGTGCACACTAACTCTTTGTGTCTCTGTTGTTCATTGCTGGAATAACATTGACGCCTGAGTTGCAAATGTCTATACTAGACAATTACTCTTTTTGTCTCTGCTGTTCTTTACTGGACTTACATTGACGCCTGAGTTGCAAATGTCTATACTAACACTAACTCTTTGTCTTTGCTGTTCATTGCTGAACTTACATTGGCGCCTGAATTGCAAATGTCTATTGTGGACACCATCTTTGTGTCTCTCGTGTTCTTTGGTGGACTTATATTGACGCCTGAGTTGCAAATGTCTATACTAAACACTAACTCTTTGTCTCTGATGTTCATTGCTGAACTTACATTGACGCCTGAATTGCAAATGTCTATTGTGGACTCCATCTTTGTGTCTCTCCTGTTCATTGGTGGACTTATATTGACGCCTGAGTTGCAATTGTCTTTAGTGGACACTAACTCTTTGTCTCTGACGTTCTTTACTGGACTTAAAGTGACGCCTGAGTTGCAAATGTCCATACTAAACACTAACTCTTTGTCTCTGCTGTTCATTGCTGAACTTACATTGACGCCTGAATTGCAAATGTCTATTGTGGACTCCATCTTTGTGTCTCTCCTGTTCAATGGCGGACTTACATTGATGCCTGAGTTGCAAATGTCTAATGTGGACACCATATTTGTGTCTCTCCTGTTCATTGGTGGACTTACATTGACGCCTGAGTTGCCTATGTCTATAGTGGACACTATCTCTTTGTGTCTCTGCAGTTTATCGGTGCACTTACATTGACGCCTGAGTTGCAAATGTCTATACTAACACTAACTCTTTGTCTCTGCTGTTCATTGCTGAACTTACATTGGCGCCTGAATTGCAAATGTCTATTGTGGACACCATCTTTGTGTCTCTCCTGTTCTTTGGTGGACTTATATTGACACCTGAGTTGCAAATGTCTATACTAAATACTAACTCTTTGTCTCTGCTATTCATTGCTGAACTTACATTGACGCCTGAATTGCAAATGTCTATTGTGGACTCCATCTTTGTGTCTCTCCTGTTCATTGGTGGAC